AGTGAGTGCAGGAAACAATGGAATAATGTTTCTCTCTCTCTCTTCCTTCTTCTCTCTGAGATCAATTAAAATTAATGATAACTAAATGTTCTATAAGTATGGTTTTAACAGGAAAGACATTAGTGATCTATGAAAAACTCGTTATAGCACATATATACAGCATAACCCCATTTTTAAAATAAATATTTATTAATTTTAGAGGAAGGGAGAGGGAGAGATAGATAGAAACACCAATGATGAGAATAATTGATAAACTGCCTCCTGCACCACCCTACTGAGGATCAAGCCTAAAACCTGACCAGGAATCATATCGTGACCTCCTGGTTCATAGATCGATGTTCAACCACTGAGCCCCACCAGCCAGACCCCATTTTAATCAATACCAGGCACATGAGGTATATTGGCAAGATCTCACTCCTAGACAAAAGTCTGAAATTGCCCAAACTCCTTTGCAGCTAGGTTTCTGGATATGAATCCATTTCTGCCAGTTGGATGCGCTTGCACAATATTTTGAAGGCAGAAGTGGGGCAGAGGCATCTTCCTGCAGTTTGGCTGTTTGCTGCTGGTGATCATGTTTGCAGAGATGTGGAGGTTTTCTGCAGCGGAATCCAGGCTGTGCACAGGCAGTTGTGGCAGAGGCAGTGCCCAGTGACCTGTTTTGTGGGAGCTGGAGGGCACTTGCGGGGGCAGCAGTTTCCTGATCCCCAGGTCACAGCTGTGCCAGAGTGTCCTAGGATTCAGTTGTGGCTGAGGGGGCAGCTCCTCCCGCTGGGCAGGGAGTCTTTCTTGGAGGCCCAGCCTAGTACCCAGTCCTCCAGCTTTCCAATGATTTCCCAAGCACCAATTCCCTGTGCTAAATTCTTTCCTGCCTAAAATAGCAAAGATCTAAAACATTTTGGAACCTCTATCAACGAAAACAATGCTGCACAAGGTCAGGTCTGAGAAGTGGGTGAGGTGTTGTGGAAGGCTCCCTTCTTTGAGTCTCAGCTTCCTCTTCTGTAGAATGGAGACCAAAGATTATATCTGTTCATAGTTACTGAAGACCATGGCAGCTGTGTTTCCCAAAGATGGCCACATTTCCCATCCCTCCTGTGGCCTTGCCACTTTCTGCCATGTCCTTTCTCTTGAAGCGGGGCTGACCTCTGATGTGCTGGTAGGCAGTACACTGGTTGCCTGCAGAATTCCAAGGCCAAGGCCGAAAAGGTATGGGGCTCCAGGGTTTCCAGCTCTGGCCCCGCCCTCGCCGCTTGAGGCTCTGGCTGGCACAGGGCCTTGCCCTCCTGGCTCACTTCCCCTCCTGTCAGTGGTCAGCGGCCCAGTGCCTCGCTGCACACCATGGCCCATCTGCTGGTGCTGCTGGGCCCAGCGGGCAGGGTAAGAGCCCAGGTCGGGCCTCACGCCTCCTGGCTCCTGTGTGCCACCTCCTCCTGTGCCCTGTGGCCCCTATTCCTGCCACTGCTCCCACCGGGGCCAGATGCCCAGGTGCTGTGCGTGGCCCGCAGGGACTGCTGTGGCCACCAGGAAAGCCTCCTCACCCCATTCCAGACTCCGGCGCCCTGATCATAGGTCCACTTCCGCCAAAGGAGAGCTGTGCCCGCGCAGTTGCCTGAGACCGAGCACCTCCAAGGTCCCTGGACCCCACATTTCTGCCAGCCAAGGCAGTTGGCCGGCTGGCCCCACCCTGATCAGGGTGTTGGGGGCGATCTGGCCCAGATCTGGCTGGTTGGCTGCTGCAGTGCATGTCATAGCCACTGGGTGTTCTGGCCGTCCTGGTCGTTCCACTGTAACGGTCACTGGGTTTTTATAGAGAGAGATAACCTGTTTATTCCTGGCAATATTCTTTCCTCTGAAGTCCTCTTTTCTCTAAAATTAACAGAGCCACACCAGCTTTCTTTGGATTAGAGTTAGCATGGTATACATTTTCTATCCTTTTACTTTTAACCTCTCTATATTATTATATTTAAAGTGGATTTCTTATAGATGGCTTATAGTTTAGTCTTTTGCTTTTTCCATTCTGTGATATGTGTCTATTAATGGTGTATGTAAACCATTTTTGGTGTGTTTGGATTTAGGTCTACTATCTTATTTGCTTTCTCTTTGTTCCCTCTTTTTTTGTTCCTCTGTTTCTCTTTCCCTACCTTTTTGTGGATTATTTGAATGTATTTTCTTAGTTCATTTGAATTTACCTACTGAACTCTTTACTCTCTCTCTTTATTTAGCTTCTTTAGTGCTTGTTCTAAGGAGTATGATAAACATACTTAACTTTTAACAGCCTACTTATAATTAATGTTTTGCTGCTTCAAATAAAGTATAGAAACCTTACCTCTATGCAGATCCCTTTGTCCTCCCTGTTTCTGTTATAGTTGTCATATGCATTCTATTTATTACAATTTGCTTTCAGCCATTATGCCTGTTTTAATAACTTAAGATATAAAATAGTCTATTATATTTATTCAAACATTTACCATTTCTGTTGTTCTTTCTTTCTTTTTTTAAAAATATATTTTATTGATTTTTTACAGAGAGGAAGGGAGAGGGATAGAGAGTTAGAAACATCGATGAGAGAGAAACATCGATCAGCTGCCTCCTACACACCCCCTAACTGGAAATATGCCCGCAACCAAGGTACATACCCTTGACCGGAATCGAACCTGGGAACCTTGAGTCCGCAGGCGACGCTCTACCCACTGAGCCAAACCGGTCAGGGCATCTGTTGTTCTTTCTTCATTACTGAAATACCAAGTTCCTTTCTGTTATGATTTCCTTCTCATCTGAAGGACTTCTTTTAGTGTTATTTTTTTAGAGAAAATTTAATGACAAGAAATTCTCTGTATTTACCTCCACCTGGGAATATATTTATTTCTGCTTTAGTTCCTGAAAGATATTTTGCTGGATAGGAAATTCTGTGCATTTCTTTTCAGCACTTAGAAACATTGTTCCTCTGCCTTCTGCTTTTTCATGAGAAAACTCACAGTCATTCACAGGGCTGTTTCCCTGTGTATAATGTGTTGTTCTTCTCTGGCTGCTTTCAGGATTTCTCATTGTCTTTAGGATTGAACAGCTGGTTATGATGTGCCTGGGCATGGACTTTTCTGTTGATTGTTTGCGGTTAGCTAAGCTTCTTGAATCTTTAAGGTTATGTGTTTCACCAAATTTGAAGAAATATTGGCTAAAACCTTCCTGAACATGTTTTATTTTTACACCACACTCTTCTTCCTCTCTTGGGGAACTCCAACAACTGGAATATTAGTTAGATTCTTTGGTTTCATGATGTGTGACATTAAAACGTTCTTCGTTTTTGTTTTTGTTTTTTTTTGTCAGATTGGGCAATTTCAAGTAATTTATCTTCAAATTCATGAACTCTTTCCTCTCTCATCTTATTCTCTTATTGTTCTCACTCAGTGAGATTTAACCATTTCCGTTACTGTCATGTTCAGTTCATAAATTTTTATTTGATTTCTTTTATTGATTCCATTTCTTTACTGAGACTTTCTAGATTTTCATTCATTTCAAAAGTATTAGCCCTAACTTCTTAGAGTTTGGTAAATAATAGCTGTTTTAAAGTTTTCGTCCAATTATTCAACATCGGTGTCATCTCAGACTTGGTACCTTTTTTCTGGATGAGATATTAAGGTCTCCCTGGCTCATTCTCTGCTGAATAAGTCAGATTGTATCCCGGGCATTTGGAACGTTATGGACTCTGGCACTTGCTAACATTTTCTGCAGAATGTTGATTATTTTGCTTTACCAGGCAATCGGCCCAGCTGGGTTCAGGCCACATGTTCTTCCCCAGCTTCTGGATGAGTTCAGGTTTCAAAGACTTTGCAGCATGTTTGGATGTTGCCCCAGGGGATAGCCAGTCTTGGGTGGCGGTCTGCCACCAAGTTCCGTTCTCAAAGCCTTAGAATGTGGCTTAGCACCAGATCACACATGTGCAGCTCGGAATTGAGCCCAGAGTTTGATACAGAACTCAGTGACCTCATTTTGTATGCCTTTTCCTCTTCACCGTCTCCCCAGCACTTTTTGACTCCCTGGCCCCTTCCTTTCCTGTCTAGACATTCATGGCCTCTGTTTCCCTGCTCACCACACACTTCCCACACTGTACCTGTCTCTGGGGCCAAGCAGCGGGAGGAAAAAGAGACAAAGCAATGAGGCTTTTGCCTACACTCTGGGACCGTAGTTCCTCTAGTCAGAGAGCAGGATTCGCCTCCCGTGAGTCCCAGATGCCTGCCTAGCACGGCTTCTCCGTGGGGTTGCCTGATAACTGGGAGAGAAAGAACGGAGAAACCCAACAAAAAGTCCCTGGTTCTCCGCCGTGGCGGGTGGCTTGTAGGAGCCTCCTTTCCTGCTCCTCAGACCAGAAACTGCGGCCTCTTCTTGGATCTCTGAGTCGTGTCCACACGCGGTGCATGGCTCTGTGTTTCAGGCCCCTGCGAGCTCGTTGCAGGGGGGCTGGGGGCTCCGGGAAGCTCACTGCAGCTGCCTGTGCTCTGGGCTTGGTTTCCTTCTCTGCTGCTGTTCACTGTTCAGAGTTCTGAGGAGGCTGCTCACGCATCCCATCTGGGTTTTAGTTGCATTCAGTGGAGGGACATAGGGGAGTGTGCTTACAGCAGCTTGAAGAGGCCTGGAAGTGTGTGTGTGTGTGTGTGTGTGTGTGTGTGTGTGTAACATAAAGTGAGAACTTCACCATCTCCCACGTATCTGCAGAGACAGGGAGTGAACCAGGGAGCCCACTTCCGTTGAGTACCAACTTTTTGCCAGGCACTGTGCCTCGGTGCACAGAAACATCACCCTACATCCCTGTGAGGAAAATGTAGTAGTGTTAGCTCCATGGCATAGTTGGGGAAATTAGCTCAGATTAATTAGTTCAAGGTCATGTAGGCAACAGTGGCAGACTGAGGATGTGTGTCATGGCCTCTCTTAGAAAGATCCAGAAAGGTCTGTGGAAAACAGAAGTGACTGAAGGCTCAGACTGACGTGTGCTTCCCCTCTGTCTGCAGGACGGATGAAAGTGATGCCGTGATCATGCACCCCGGGGCCCTGTGCATCATGGTCCAGCTGCTGCCTCGGCTGTACCATCACGACCACCCCCAGGTACTTGTGATACTACGTCTGCCTTTTTCACGTGGCTGACCTTTGACTCCTCCTGATGGAGACTTGGCTTTCCCACTGGCGCACCTGGCATTAAACGCGATCCTGCCTGGAGGCGGGTCTCGTGGCTTCTGCAGGAAGAGTGGGGGTGGAGGCCCAGGCCCAGCTTTGCCTTGTCTGGGAGTTTAAACGAGGTGACATGTTGTAGGAAGACATGACAACTCGTGGCCTTACTAATCGCCGCCTGGGAATGACAGGGCTGAGGAAGCACGGTGCAGGCCTCCGAGGTCACGGGGAGGGGAGGGGAGGGGAGGAGAAAGCCGGGGAACGGCGAAGGCGGCTGCGTTCACTGGGGAAATTAGTGTTTGGTAAGGAGTGACGAAGGACCAACGCTGTCCCAGTCTGCGTGTCCCTTTGTAATTGAAACCCTTTTCTGGTCCCTGTTTCTCTGCTGACGAGTGACAACACGGTGATGTTCAAATCAACGAGTAGGGAGACATCGAATAGTGACATGAATGTGCCGTATAGTTTGCAACATTCATGGAGAAGCAGCGGATGGGGCTAACATGGATCAGGTTGCTCTTTTAGTTACCGTCGCTGTGTGACAAACTGCTGCCAGGTAACGATGATGGCCATTGTCTCATTTCTGTGGGTCAGGAGTTCAGCAGCCGCAGCCGACACAGCTCACGGCCTCCGGGCACCGCTGGCCTTGCCCCTCACAGCACGGACACCTCCCAGGCTGCTCCGATGCACGGGGCTCCCGGGCGCCTCACTGCTCTGGTCCCCGGGCCTTGGTGTGAGCTGCTGGTAGGATCCCGAGGTCTCTGCCTGGGAGCCCTCTGCGCCTGACCTCAGCCTGTGTCCCTCCAGGTGGATTCTCTGAGCGGCCACATGGCAGCCCAGGGCTCTGAAAGGCACCAAAGCAGGAGCAGGCCTGCACAGCTTCCACGGCCCGGCCGTCTGTTGGTCAGCGTTCAGCTTAGACTCGCGGGAAGGGACACATGCCCCCTGCTGTGTGCGGGGCAGCGTGAGTGTACAAGAGGGAGGGGGTGCTGAGGGCCATCACCAAAACTGCCGCCACACTTGCCTGGAGCATCCGACTGAAGGGTAGAGATATTTGATCCCCAACCCAAAAGCCTTCCAGTCATTCAGGTATGTGAGGTCTGGACCCTCCTTTCTTTGCCTGGGCCTTCAAGACAGGCCTCTCTGGGGCCTCCTGGACACTGGTACACACTCCGATGCAGGAACGCTTTCACCAACAGGAGAATGTCCCTGCTTCGCGTGTGCTTGAGGCTCAGGGGGCTTTGTAACTTCCTCGGGTCTCGGCTGCTGAGGGGAGACGTGAGACACTCCCAGGCCCACGGCCAACACGTGTTTGGTGAACGGGCCTCTCACCTCCGTGGCTCTCGCGGGACGCAGGCCATGCAGCCTGCGCGTCCTTCCAGGGGGTCTCCTCATGTGAGGAGCTGGCTCCGTGGCTGTGGTTGGTACCATGGATGGACTTGCAGTGAGAACTTCGCCGATGGTTGGGATGGTCCTAGCACTCAGACGGCTGCTCCTGGTGCGCTGTGCAAACTCCCCCACGGCACCGCCTGAGGGAGTGGCTCAGAGGACAGTGCCCAGCCCTCCCGGCTCCTAGCGCCTCAGGAGCCTGGGTTTCAGATAAACCCATGAGCTGCCACATTAGTATATGGCAGGAACTCCCTCTCAGTCTAGGAAGGTAATTAGACAAGTTAAGAATGAAAATGAAATCCCATTTGGTATGCGACTTTTCTCTATTCAGGTCACAGTAAATAATTTAGGAAAAGTGTAATTTCTCCTATCTTTAAAATATGCAAATGAAAGGTAGTGGTGCATTTTCTCAAATATTTTCTGCAGATGCCAAACCAGTGCTATTCAAAGTTGGATAATTGCAGTAATTAATTTCTGAAAGGGGGGTGGTGAGCCTCATAACAGCAAATAGAAGAGTAAGTCAAGTGAGAAATAACCCACACGAGGAAACGCTGGAAAGGGCTGCAGTGCCGCGGGTTTTGTTGCAGAAAAAGGAGCAGGAAAGGAAGTGCCAGTAGAGGGCAGTGTTATTAAGAAGATGGGCTGTGAGTTCCCACTGGGCTCCCTGTCATCTGCTCTGTTCACAACCCAGAAGTGGTTTGCTTTTTCCCCAGAACACTAGCACTGCGAGCTGCTCTGGGAAGACCCGCCAGAGGGCCTGGTTTCCTCCTGTGCCATCCCCGGCACTAAAGCTGTGCTGTGGGAACTTGGCGTGAATGCTGCTGTCCCAGCACAAGGCGAAATGGAGTTCAGCTCAAGTCCTCCTGAGGCTGAGTTGGTCCCAGAAAAAAAATAACGAATTGGGAACAGGACAGTTTCCCTTCCCGGGGTGCTCAGCAGCTGCAAGGGTCTTGCCATAGATGTGCTTGCTGCTGCGAGTAACTAGCAACCCCCTCCTAGGTGCCCTGAGGAGCCAGAGATGAGTGTTACAGGGACTCACAGCCCGAGTTTGAGGGTGGGTGGCAGAGGAGTGTAGAAAATGGAAGAGCGTTCTGAGGCCGCCACAAATGTGTGTCCACAGGCCGTGGGACAGAGAGAAGGGAAAGCCAGAGAGGAGGGGACACCGGAGCTGAGCTTACGGAAAAGATGTGCCCATGACAGCAGGTGGGGGAGGAAGGCAAGGAAGCTCAGGCACAGAGGCAGACGCAGAGGAGGCGCCGTTTAGGGCCCCTGGTGAGTTCAGCTGGGCCACGACGGCCCTGTGGGCAGAGAAGCGGTGAGTGGGGCCGGAAGGCTGTTTGAAGCCATGTTAGGAAGGGCTCTGAACACCATGTGAAGAGAAGCGAACTTTATTGGGTTGTCATCCATTGTCGTCACCATCACTACTGTGATGTTTAAATTTTACTTATTGATTTTATTTTATTTTCTTAAAATATATTTTTATTGATTTCAGAGAGGGAGAGGAAGAGAGAGATAGAAACATCAAGGATGAGAGAGAATCATTGATCGGCTGCTTCCTGCACACCCCCTACTGGGAACCGAGCCCGCAACCCGAGCATGTGCCCTGACCAGGAATCGAACCCGGGACCCTTCAGTCCACAGGTTGACACTCTACCCAGTGAGCCAAACCAGCTGGCCTTTATTTATTGATTTTAGAGAGAGGGGAAGGAAGAGAGCGAACCCTGTGGGTGTTCCACTTATCTATGCATTTATTGGCTGGCTCCACATGTCCCTGAGCCCCAGCCTGGGCACAGTGGGATGACACTAACCAGCTGTGCTGCCCGGCCGGGGCACATGATGTTTAATGAGCACCCACTGTATGAAAGCAGGGTGCAGGCTCTGAAGACAGCAGATGCCACTTCACAGCCACAGACCATGGGAAATTATTTAACCCCTTTGATCCTGAACTTCCGTGGCTGTAGTGTGGGGTGATTGCTCCCTGTGGCATTGTCATCAGGAGGAAATGAAGCGATGCTGGAGCTCAGCATGGTAGGCAGACACATCCTCCCAGGAAGCATTGCTGGGTGGTGCAGCGACCGCTTTAGCACGCGTTTTCTCACGTAGTGCCTGTAGGAACCCTGCCAGCAGATAGCACTACTCCCACTTGGCAGATGAGGCCCTGAACCTTGTAGAGGTGAGTGGCAGAGCTAACATCGTAGCCAGTGGCGGTGTCCCTGGGAGAAGGCTCCCAGTCCTCCTGCCTCTGTGCCAGGTGGCCTTTCCTGTGAAGAAGTGGTGGCCAGCCCTAGCTGGTTTGGCTCCGTGGATAGAGCAATGGCCTGTGGACTGAAGGGTCTCAGGTTTGATTCCAGTCAAGAGCACATGCCCGGGTTGCAGATTCGATCCCCAATAGGGGGCATTCAGGAGGCAGCCAATCAATGATTCTCTCTCATCATTGATGTTTCTATCTCTCTTTCCCTCTCCCTTCCTCTCTGAATTCAATAAAAATATGTTAAAAAAAAAAAGAAGTGGTGGCCATGGGAGCTTATTGGGAGCAGCAACAACATCGAGTGGTTGTTGGTACATCCAGGTTCTACTGGAACCTCCTGCCTGGTCTGGTGGCACAGGAAGAAGCTGGGCGAGGCACTGCATTCCTCTCATTTGTCCCTCAGTTCCGAAAAGGTGCCATTTTCTGGAATTAGCCTGTAATTCACACACGTTGAACTAATCATATGAGTTTCAAATAACTACAATATCGACAGCAGTAATAGCCCTGGAGAGCACCGTGTCAGGCAGGCTATTTACGGAGAGCCATTTCCTCCAACAAGGAAACCGGTAAAGTAGGAGTCTTGCTGTGTTACATTATAACACACTAGAGACTCCAACTATGTTCAGTTTCTGGGTTCCTCATGCTCTTTCGTTCTGAACCCGAGCCCCAAATACCCCTATTGTTTCTGAGTGGAACAATCTCAGGCCCCAGTCAAGCTCCAGGGACTTCTAGGATAGTCTCCTAAGTAGAGCAGGAGACGAGAGGGTCCAGGCGCGGTGCCGAGGACGGTGGAGTGAGAGGGAAAGTGGGAGGGATGAGCTCTGGCCAATGTCCAGGGGACCAGTCTTCTCATCCCCTTTGCCGTCATTATTTCTGTCTCACATAGTCCCCTTCCCTTTTCTGCATCTCAAATTCAGCTGCTCACACTTGGCCTAGGGCACAGGGGTTGCAGACTCAGTGTCTTGGGGCCAGAGAGGTAAAGGAAATGCGTAAGTTAGGCAGGTGTAGAGAGGGAGCGGTAAGGCCTGTGGCTGTAGGGAAGGACCTAAAGGACTCACATCTAATTAGGGAGAAATGAAATAAAAACAAAGCCAAACTATGCCCACCAAATACAACATTTCTGTACGCCATCCGTTTAGGACCCTGTCAGGGAGTACGTTTCCTCCTTATGAGCACACGATGCGGCGTTAAAACCACTCGTCAGCTGTGTGGCCTTAGGAAATGATGTACCTTTTCCGGTCTCAGCCTCTCATTCCCCAGAGAAGAGCAGAGGGAGAGTAATTGTAAAACACATAGTCCGGCACCTGGCGTGCGGTGTCCATCATGCCCCGCCCTCCTCCGGCTTTGGCTGTCCGTGTTCCCAGGACCCGGCCATGGCACAGACACTTCTGGAAATATTGAATGAAAGGTAACACATTGTAGGTACTCTTCCACCTGCATTATCCTACTTTAAGTTCATAACAGGGCATTGATGTTGAACTGTACGCTAACGTCTACTCGGGAACGGAAAGCCTGGGCTCTCTCCTGCCTTCTCTGCACTCGATCCACTGCCTGACTGACGCGCACGGAAGGCGACAGGATGGTGTGGAGGGTCTCAAGCAGCTTCAGCAACGGGTCTGAACCCATGAGGGAACGTCAGCAGCGATAACCACGCTTGTCTCGTGTTTCAGGGCAACAGACGCACAGACACACAGTACACCCCGCAGACATACAGACACACAGACGCATAGACACACAGACACCCCGCAGACATACAGACACACAGACACACCACGGACACACAGACAGACAGAAACACAGACACACAGACACACAGTACACCCCGCAGACACACAGGAACACAGACATACCACACACCACGAACACACAGACAGACAGAAACACAGACACACAGTACACCCCGCAGACACACAGGAACACAGACATACCACACACCACGGACACACAGACAGACAGAAACACAGACACACAGACACACAGTCTGGTAAGGAAGCGCAGAAGAGCGGGTGTGAGGGAGCCCAGGGGCTTCCGTGCCAGGGCAGCAATAATCCACGTGGTGTGAGGACAGCGCGACCCTGAACTGTTTTTCCAGCTGTGCCTATGGAGGCTTGGTGCCAGCCAAAGGGTGTAATGGTGCCCCTGGCCTCTCAAACACACGCAGCTGTGCTGTCCGGAGGCGAGAAAGCAGGATGGTGAGGGCCTGAGAAGCCACCT